GGGGGGGGGGGGGGAAGATTTATGAAATTGAGCATGCATTAATTAAATTCTCACTTTCTTTCAGGCATTTGTTGATAGTGGAGCCCAGTCTACCATTATATCAAAAAGCTGCGCTGAGCGTTGTGGGTATGTAAAATTGTTTTGACTTGAATTTGCTTTCAAGACATCTATAATACCATGTTAACCTGATATGATCAAATTTATTAGGTAGTTTATTTGCTTGCCAATGAATTTACTCTACTTGTACATATCTAGATAGATAAGCCATTGAGCTTTTTAAAATTCATCTTAATTGTTTGTGTACCAATATTATGCTCTTTGGGTAAATTATATATATTTGAATGGGATGAATGTTTTCCACTGATATTTACAGGTTTATGTACATAGTTTATAAACAAGTAAAGCCTAAGTCAAAAATACAATTCATATTTATTCCTTTCTTTCAAAATACATAGGCCAAGATGGCAGGAATGTAAGGAATATTATTCATACTAGACACTGCATACATCAAAGCCTGAAATATTTTGAGTTTGATGTTTGATGTTTGTCAAGCTTGTGAATTATACAATAAAAAAGTATGTGAAAAAATGACTTTGGGGAGTCTAGTGTTGCTTAAACCTAGCAGTGAGAAATTGAAGTTCTTTTTTTTTTGTGAGCCTTATGTTTTGTACACAGCTTGGCCTTCATAATCTTCAATCTAATTTGAGTTCCTATCAAATTACTTCCTTTTTGAAGTTTCAACTCCAAACTGTTGCTAGTCTGTGGGCCTTGAGGGTCTCTCTCTGTCTCTGATTTGATGGGTTCTTGAATCAATGATGTTTCTTACTCATGTACTTCTAGATGATAGTGTTTCATCAGTTCCCAAATTTAAAGATGTGATTTTTTTTAATGGTCATGCTGCTGTCTTCCAGATTGTTGAGGCTTTTAGATCAGCGTTACAGAGGAATTGCTCATGGAGTTGGCCAGTCAGAAATATTGGGTCGTATTCATGTAGCTCCAATCAAGGTATTGTTGTTAGCAGGTTTTCTGGAGAGAATTTTATGTTGCTGAAGTTATTGGTATCTTATTGCATGCTGATATTGGTAGATATTACTCTTGCAGTCTTGTTTATGTAGATAATTAGATATCTAATTTGTATTTTGAATATTGACTATATTTCAGTATTATACTTTTTACATTTAGCCTTAGGAAGCACAATTAACTGAAATATAAAGCTATTGTTTGGTATTATGTACTGATTCAAATTTTATTGTTATATTTTTTTAGAAGGATCTTTGTTGTTTGGGATTTAAATTTTAACAATGGTAGTTATCTCCCTCTGCCTTCCTTCACCACGTGACTGATTTGTGCCGTTCATATTAATATTTTTTTTCATAAGGGTGGAATGGTTGGAGAAACGAGTTGCAATTTTAACTGGAATGTTTTCTCCCTGTTTTCTTATGTGCCTGGTGTCTACTATTACTGATGCAAGAATGTTTGAGTCCCTTACGATGGAATCATTTTAATTCCAATTTAATCATGAGATTCATTTATTTTAATTTGCATGGAAATGACTTACCATTCTCTCAGTAAATTTGTCTGTATTTTATGTTTCACACCTATTTTGTGTGTATTTTCCTTTAGATTGGGAGTATATTTTACCCTTGCTCATTCTTGGTGCTGGATTCTCCCAATATGGAATTTCTCTTTGGACTGGATATGCTCCGAAAGCACCAGGTACCATCCTCAGCTGCACTCTTTGATATCATTGTTTTCAGTATTTACTCTAAGCTGCTATTCTTGTAGATGTGGCTCTTGCCTGTATTGTATGATTGATTTGCACTTTTTGATGTCACTGCTTTTAGTATTTACTATAAGATGCTATTTTTATTGATATGGCTTTTGTCTGCAGTGTATAATTGATTTGAAAGAAAATGTTTTGCGAGTTGGTGGAGGAGAAGTTTCTGTGCCATTTTTGCAAGGTTGGTTTTCTAATGTGAATTTGAAATGATGAGCATTTTTTGATTTTTTCTCCTCGTTTGTACTCAATCCTTTACTTGGCTGTCATGTTCAGAGAAAGACATACCATCTCGGTTTCTGGATGAGGAAAAGTATGCTAAGGAAGCTGCAGGCTCTGGTGGTCTAGTAAGTATCCTTTTAATTATAAGCTTTTCTTAAAGCAACTGAATTGAGACTGTACTGCTTTAATCTACTTCTAGGTATTGAAAGCTGTCATTGTTCTTAATCTTTTTATAATTATGTTATAATATAGATGTTTCATAGCATATATGTCGCACATTATTTTTGTCTTTGTCCTAGACTCAATTTTTTGCACATTTTTGTCTTTGATTTTCCGACAAAGGTGTTATTTAGTATCCTTAAAATTTTTTCCCCTGCAATCAAGGGAGAGATGTTCAATAAGTAGGATTTTGCTCGTGATTAACATTTTCCTTTTCCCTTTTCCATATGAGCTAGAATGGCACTTTGTATGTTGATTGCTGACTGTTGAGTAGTTGAAACTTGAAAGTACATAATGATTTTCCTAATTTGATCTAAAATCGGTCATTCTGTTTTGACTATTGCTTTTGATTGTTCCTTGGTGATAATGTGAACTAAAAAGTAAAAACACTATATTATGGTTCATTAGAAGTTCAAAACTGCAATAACTATTGTCCAGTGCCCATGACAATTGTATACTCTTTAAAATTTGATCAAGCAAAAGGGGTAAACAATGATAGATTGTCATAAATTATTGTGCCATTTCCGGTTTGCTTTGTCATTTTATTTTGATGAAGACAATGACAGTTGTTTTTTTGTTACAGGTTACATCAGGGAGCAATAATCCATCAACAGGAGGCCCCTCTTCTGGTTAGTAATGGAGATTTTTAAATTTGTGCTAATGGGAAAATTTCATTCTTATTTAGGTCATAAAATATGCAGAAAATTTCATTTTTGTATTTGTCCTATTTTGGGGTTCAATTGGACAGCTTTCAATCAAATTCCACCCAAAGCAAGTTTTTTAAACTTGCAATTTATCTTGTTAATAATGACCCTTTCCCAGGGTAGTGTTGGTTAGCTTTACTTTTTATGCATTGTTGATGAGGTAGTAATTTATTTAGTTTTCCATAAAATTTAAGTTCCTTTCATTTCCCATATCAAATTTCACATTTGCCAAATTAAACAATAGAGACAATGCTAATAACATTTTATTTCTACTTATTTTTCAGGAGGAGCTTCTGGTAACAGGTCTAAGGTATACTGTTTCAGCTTTGAATTCTGTACTTTTTAACTCGTGAACTTAACTGTCTATCAGTCTATGATTATTGGTTTTCCTTCCCTTCTAGTGGTATAATAAATTTCGAGTAAAACCTCTATATTCTAAGGATTAACTAGTCACTGCGATAGTTTTTAAAGATTTTTTCACCAAACTAGTCCTTTAAAGATCTAAACCATTTTTGTCTAAAATGGTGACACTAAGACAAATTTGGTAACTGTTGTATTTTTGAAAGATTAATTTAATTAATTTAGTAAAAATATATTTGACTCTCTAACCTTTGGAAGACCAATTAGAGGATTTACAATGGAAAGTATTTATTGTACTGTTGGTCTATTGGTCTATAATACAAAAAATGTGTTATGTAGCACGTCAAGAACATGATGAACAATATGCTTACATGATTGAAAACAAGGCATAAATGTAGTGTGTACTGCATGTCACTTTTAAAATTTTCAGATTTAAAAGTGAATGCTAGTTTTACAAGTATTTAAACAAGGTTGGATCATGTTTGATGTTTTGTGATTGCGTTTCATGGCTATTGATTTCCCTAATGTAATGTTTTTATGGTTGTAGGATTCTGAATTTGAAGCCAAAGTTGCAAAGCTTGTTGAGTTGGGATTTGAAAGAAATGCAGTTATACAAGCTCTTCAATTATTCAATGGCAATGAGGAACAGGCTGCTGGGTTTCTTTTTGGGGGCTAAAGAGAACATTTGTTTTGGAAATTGATTGATTTATTACTCGAAACAATTTTTACTTTTAGCCAATTCAATTACAAATTCTAAAAACTAAATTATAGACGTGGTGACATTTATTGTGAATTGTTCATACTGTAAGGGAATGTTTCTTTGTAATTGAAAAACTAATTTATGGTTTCCCAATGTGTATTATTATCTAACCTTTAGTATAAGAGGTCAAATTAAATAATATATACATAATATGAACAAAGAAGGGCTTTTGAGTAAATAAGTTGAAATTGTGATTGCTAATTGTGTCAGCTCTGGCCAAGGGCTTCATGCCTCAAAATTTTGGGGTCCCCACACTTTTAACTGATAATTATTCGTATTAAAAATATGAAAATTAATATAATTAGTTAGAGACATTCATATATTGTCTCATTTTTTAAACCAGCTTGCTAATAAATGTCTCCTCCCTTCTCACATTTCATTACAATACATTTGAAATTATCATCCCAAAATTTGAACCTTAATTGCCAGACAAATTTTTAACATTCCTACTCCTTTTTCTAACTGTCTTCTTTTAATGAATCTCAGTTTATATAACACACAATGCGGAGTTTATAGCTATTATAATATATAAAGGGATACTAAACCTCTTAAAATACTCCTCTCTTAGTATATCTGAAGAACAATTGGATTATACAATTATCATGGATGATCAAAATTAATTTTTTTTTTAAAGTCTCATAGCCACTTTAACAAGTTATGACATTTAAAAAACTCAAATAACTTAATTTTAATTATTTATGATACAATTTAATAATTAATATTTATTCTCGCTCACGTAAAAAAGTCCTATCACTAGATTTTCATACACGTTATCTCTAGAAGTCTAGATATGTTTCACACACGTAAAATATTTTATTCATAATTATATTATTATTTAAAGTTATTTTTTATTATTATAAATTATGTTTTATTAATTATTTTGGTAGTTATTCCTATTAATTAGATATAAAATCTTTCATTAGTTATTTAAAATTATTTTATTATGAATTTTTAAAGTTCACTGTGTTATCACATCGATTTACATCTCATTTTACTCATCTATTTCCTTTAGAATCCTTTGATAAGAAGGAAAAAAATAGGTAAGAGAAAAATAGAGACGAAAGAAGCACATTAAAAATATAGTAAAATTTTAGATTGTTTGATTTAAGAGAAATAAAAGGTAAATAAATAGTGAAGTTGTTTAGTTTGAAAAAGAAAGTAAGAAAACTACAATAAATAAATCTTACTTTTTCCATAATGAAAAACTTACTTGCAATGGGTATTGACACCTGTTTTAATAATTATTTAGTATAATCGACTAAAAAGGTTCTATTCATTGTTTAGAAATTTCAATAGATTAAAATTGCAAATCATCAAATACAAATGTAATTTTATAAAATCGATTAGTTAATTTTAATCGATTGAAGTTATAAACCATGTTGGGAAACAAAAATATGCAGTCCATTCAGAGTATTGGGGTATTTTTGTCCAGAAAATTTTGTGCTACAGGTGAAGCAATTTTATAATTTTGTTGCAATTTTCACCCTACTCAGCGCCAAAAAAAAATGGAATCCACTATTTTTTTTTGTTCTTTCCTCTCCCATTCAATGTTATCAAACAACCAGACATGAATAAAGTAACCCCTGATTCTATCATCCCATTTATTTTCTTAGGGGAATCAGCTGTAGCAAACAGGGGTTCAAGGGATGAAACTAGTAAAATGAGAAGGAATAACCTATTTAAGTATTTATTATTGATTTACATTGGGTAAAGTTTATATGATATTTTAATTCATATCAATACAAACAAACCCTTATTGAAGAGAGAAAGTCTTGGGTGGACACAAACCCAACAAATCACTTTTAGACAACAAATAACAAGATAATAACATAACATTATCAAATTCTCTAATTAAGGTAAAGTATGTACTCATGATAATTCTCCTTATCCATGACTCAGCCCTAACACTAACCCTGACTCAAGAGATTTATCTCCATTCAGCCCTATAGCGCATTTCAAACCTCACTAAATAAAGAAAAAATAATAATAATGATTGATCATGTATTGACCCTTGATAATGAACTCGACACATTGCGAGACACAACCTAACAGGATTTTCTGGAACAAGCAATCAATAAACATTCATAAATAACTCTAATCTATTCATGTTCACGGGCAAAACTTCACTTTCACATCAACGTTGTTACACTCACAAGTCACAATTTTGATTTGAACTTGACAAATAGCTGAATTGAATGAACCGAAACATCTTCCTCAATATAACTCATCCTCATCATACTAGATCACAGAAATTATAGCAAAAATTATGGGAACAGAAAAATGTTCCACAAATGTCACGATTATGATAAGATCAAAACCTTTCTGCCAATCTGGCAGTAACTGCTCTTAGTTTTGAATATACCTTTCCTGCTGGTGATCCTAGGATCAGGCTACAAAGAGAATCCCTGGCAATCTTTATGTTGGCAAAAGATCCCAATATGTGAATTTTGGTGTCGGCAATCACAATTCTTGTCTTCGATGCATTCTCAATTGCAAACTTTGTTTTACCACCTTTACCAGATAACCTTCCAATAGCACGAGACAAGTGATCACCTCGAAGTGTTTTAACATCCTTGATCTCAAAGGACTCAATGTAGAGTTCATCCAAACGCAGAAGAGCAATGGCATCAATGACATCAAAACCCAGCATTAAAGCATGGACAAAGTCAGCACATTTTTGCAGGTTACTAATATCAGGTGTATCAGACCTTGTCTTCAGCTCGACCCTACGAGCCTTCAGATTCATGCGGACATCAATTTTCATCTGTTCATATATGGGAGTATAGATATCCATCCAAGCTTTCTTGAGAGGAGTATAACGATGTGGTGGAACATTCACCTTGCGGAACTGAACCTGACCATCAGACATCTCATGTGGTTTCAAAGGCTCAAACTTTGGCTTTGGTGGCAAAAGCTTGGATTCAGTTGGGATGGTTTCAACTTCCATTGTAGAAGATGTTTGATTTGACTGCATTTTGCAACTGTTCCAAGAGCAACACAAAATAAAAGTTGATTTAAAATATACAAAAAGTAAACATCAACGTTTATATGTAAATAATAAGCCAAATCTACTTCTGCAGTAAACAAGAGATCACATGTCAACACCAGATAAGCCAATGACTGCTATTTCTTTATTATATTTTTGTTTATATTTCATTAAATGGGAATAAGGAAAACTTAAGAGGTTGATTTGTGAACCAAAAGAAAAAGAAAAGTCAACATTTAAACTAATAATGAAACCGAAAGACATAAAAGATGAAATTTTATGGTATTTGAGATTTTTTTATTCTACCCAGAAAAAAGAAGCAAGTAAAATAATTTTCAAATTCACTCACAAAATTCCGAAAGTAACTAATTATTCTGTTGAAATAAACAGCTAAAAAAATCAGTTCCTGCAAAGTGATTCCTGGAATTATTTTTTTCACTTTGCCTTGAATCAAATCAAGAAATCATGCTTACAGGTAGCCACAGGGGCACACACATCACATACTAAACTAATTTTCCATCCATCATGGATAAAGGAACACGTTCACAGATTGTATGCTCAAATCTTTTGTAAATATAGACTCAAAAACTACCTACAAAGGTTCTTCAAGCTTTCACTCTTTGTAATTTTGTAAAGGCATGGAGCACACTACCATGTCCATTTACATATTCAGAATTCTAAAGTGCACTCTCTACACTATCAAAAGCTCAAGGTGACATACATCAACCAAAAGTATGATTTGAAAATAACATACTGTACTGGGTTCTACAATAAGGCATGATACAAAAAATTCTGCTGAACACCAATTTGCTATGTAAAACATTTGGGCATATCAGTTTCACTGAACAAGTAAGCCCTTTTCACAAGCCTAGTAGTAGTAGCCTACTGTTTTCTTTTAAACAAACATTTTGAGTAAACCTTAAAACAGAACAAACCAACTATATTACACGAGGATCCTTTAGTGAACGTCACCTTTCCTTGAAATATAAACATTACTACAGCATCTAGAACAGGAATATAACCCTTGACATGGAAAAATAAAAAAATGTTGTTCTGCAAGCACATTTGTCTAACTCCAAACTTAAAGAATTGCATCCTACATTAAACTTAGTGTATATATGGATTCTGGACGAGCATGGTTAAAATTGATTTTGCAAAATTAATTTTGGTTAAAAATGATTTTGAAGTGATGTAATTTATGTTTGAATGCTTTTTATTATAAAATTATAAAAACAAGGTAATAGTAAAACTCTCTGTAGGTTTACATTTGCGTCAAAATTCATTAAAAATCACGTCCAAGTTGATTTTGACGTAGAAGCTTCATTGAATAGTTTCAGGTATTCACGTTAAATACAAAAACGACCTAAAGTTGCTTCAACTCAAAATCAATTCTAGACCTGGAATCAGTTCCTGAACGTGAAACCCAAAATGTAAAAATTCGTCCTAAATCACATTAACTAATATTCCAACGTGATTCAAGAAAATTCATGGTGAAATCAAACACACACTTATTCCTAAACTTGCAAAACCTCTCACCCAAGCAGTCAATAGATTTAGTTCAATACTGTTCCTCCTTCGGTAGCAAAAAAACTGCGTTCCATCAGTAACAAACATAAAATTTCTCTTCTCCTCTGTTGATTTTGTGTTCGCTATTTGGCTACCACTTACTCTAACCCCAACAAAATGATATAAAAAAAAAACCCGATAATTTGCACAAATACCGAAAAATCATTATGTTCAGTGAAATTCGTGAGATTCATAAATCCACCAAACCCTTTCACAACTTGCAGGATAATTGAGACATGCAAATGAAAATCGAAAAGGAGAAAGAACTCACGTGGAGAAATAGGTGGCTACGGCGACGCCGATGGAAACGGTGTTCGGCGGCGGCGCGAGAAGACGAGTCGAGATGGTGAAAGACAGGGTTGGGCAACTGAAAAATGTTTCTCCCAAAACCTAATTCATAATTTTTTTTGTTTCTCTTCTTAATTCTATACTTATCATTCAATCAGCAATTTTAATATTTTCTTTTTTAATAATATAATTTTATATAAAATAATTTTTATAGGATATATAATATGAATTTTATAATATTAAAATAGATAATACAACATGTGTATTAAAAAAATAAAAAAGAAATATAAGTTTGTTTATATTCATTGTATGAAAATATATTAAATAATATATACATTTCGATATATATTTTTATTATATATTTTCATATAACAAATATAAATTGTATTATTTAATATATTTTTACTATATACTGCAAGAAAATTGTTATATAGTGACACACATTTTATAATAACACTATACATGTCACTAAAAATTACTTGTATCCACACAATAATTACAATATATGTTGGTATATTATTAAAAAGTGTGAATATAAGCTATAGTGACACATAAAATGTTATTAAATCTCATTTAAAATCAACATTAAAATTGTGTGGAACTATATGTCAAATAGACATATATCTATATATATTGTACTGTACTTTTTGTATGTCACTATATGTAACATTTCTTGTAGTTGTATATACTTATTGTGTAAAATATATATTAAATAAATTATACAATTAATTTACTTTAAAATATATTATTAAGTAAATTTATTATTTATTAATTTTAAACTAAATTGATATTAGATAAATAATTTTAAAAAATAAATAAATTTGAGTGATAATGTTATATATAATATGTTGTTTAAATTATAATTATAAAAGTTAAATGGTTTAATGATTTAAATGGTGAATTTTATAATTAAGGTCACGTGTTATAGTATTTATAAGGTTATTTTTAATATTTTTTAAATAAATGTTATATTTCTTTGTCATGTCGATATCATGTTATTAGTTTGTATTATTATTATAGTGTCACTTTATTGATTTATGTAACTTGTCACATCTCCACTAAAATTACTCATCATCAATTTATGTCACCAATAATTTCAAGTAATATTTTAATTGATAAAAGGAACTGAAATGTCATAATTTTAAAAAATTTAAGAGATCATGCATAATTAAAATAAATAAATACAAAAATTGTGGATCAATAATTATAATATTTGGATTATTTAGATTAATGCATTAAGTCCTAAAAAGTTACAAGCTAACCTATTTGACAGGTTAATTTTTTATTTATTTATTGAAATTTGATAATATGCTAATTAATATTATAATATTTAAATTATATTATATTTTAATTCTATTCTTATCTCATCAAATTAATAAAATGAAATGAAAAAAAGATAAAATGAAAAGTAAAATATAATTTTACATAAAAAGATGATCCATTTATTCTAAAATTAATTTTTCTTATAGTTACTTCACTCAATAACTTATAGTATATTAAATTTTAACTATATAAATGTTAAATTTATTCTTTTTATGAATAAATTAAGTCTATAATTTTTTTTACAAAATTTTTAAAATATTTGATGTTTAGCTATACTAATTTAAAATAATGTATAACATGCTTTCATTTATAAATATACATTAATTTAAATTTTTTAACAAAATATCAAATAATTTTTAAGTCTTATAAAAATTTGCATACTTAAACTATTAAAAAAAAACTTGTAATTTAGTGATTGAATTGTTAAAATTTAATGTATATCATAAACCCATAAGTTATTAAGTAGAGTAATTAGTTCTACCAAAAGTTATTCTAATTTGATCCACTTTAAAAAAAAAAAAAATATATATATATATATATAAAAAAAAAAAGAACATTTCCTTAGGGAGAAGATTTATTTATGTCATTCAATTTATAATATTATTAATTAAAACAAGTTGTTTTGAATTATTTTTATGGATTTTAATGAATTCATTATTTGTTTCTTATATGACAATAAGAGTGAGCATTTGATGTTACATATGTTCTTTTGTAACATAAAATTGTAAGAGATGTATATTGCTCTCAAGTATAATAAATTCTACATGAGCTTAGAATTCATTATCGTTACTATGTTGAAGGATTTTACTATATTTTTTCATATATATATATATATATATATATATATATATATATATATATAAAAAAAAGCATATATTATAAGAGTGATATTTTTATGTGAGTTAAAATACTCTATTTTAACTTTTGAATTAAAATTATTAAAAAATTATGAATAAAATTATTACTTACTAAAGTTATTATTGTCATCACTATACTATTACTATCACCATCATTATTGTGATTGGTACATCACCTTCACCATCATAAATTACTACTTAAATACAAGAATGACTTTCTTACGTGATAATGAAAATTGTGAATTTCAATCATTAAATTAAAATGAACAACTTAGATTAATATATTACAAACAAAATTATTAATTATCACATACTATTAGTATCATATTAATTGTACCACTATCATTACTATCTTCATTGTCACCAACTACCATCATGGTTATCATTGTTAGCATGATGATAACAACAATAATAATGATGATAGTAATGACAATGAATGATGTTAATGTCAACAATGATATTGATCATGATAATTGTGGTAGAAGTCTTAACGGTGATAGTAACAATAACAATGATAGAAACAATCATGATTTTAACATTACGTTATAGTTTTATTTGTAATATTTCAATATAAATATTATTATTAAGATTGAACATTCTCATTTACATATATAAAAATGACATTCTCATTATACATATGTGTAAATTTTATTAATATCTATTTTTTTTTCTCACTTCGTCTTTTTAGGTTTTAATTGACATCTATATAAAGAAAAATGATGAGTGTTAATAGGGTGTTTAATATATAAGATTATTTATATATAATTATTATTTTTTCTATTCACATTCATTATTAATAATTTATTATTGTAATCTTTCATTAATATCTTAAATAAAAAATAATTTTTATTGAATTGTATTGGAGCATATTTATTTCCTTAGTGTTAATTAATTCTCTCATTTATCTATTCACACTCCTTAATTATTAAAATATATTTGATTATAATTGCTTAAATTAACTTCATTTGGATAATTGTTTTGTTGAACCTAACCTAGAGTATCTCTTGATAAGAGTCAATGTTGAAATACTGAGATCATCAGTATCTTGATTCTTTGTTGGAATTTTTTTTTTCTTCAAGTTTTTCTATGTATCTATTAGAGAATAATATTTAATCTCTATCAAAACCGTCGTTAATATATACAATATAGATAAATTTTTTTAATATAATTTATTTCATATTAATAATAAAAGATTAAAGTTTTAGACAATTTAATTAATAGACAGAAATGACTATTATTTATACTGATCGATATTAGTAGTGGGAAGATATTTTATACATAAGAAAGAGAAAAAAAATTATTACACCAACAGAAAACTAAGAAAATATATGAGCAGAAACACATATATAAAGCTATCGATCCATGAAACCAGGCTATGTTGCAAGTTCTACACTACTTGAGCTTCACGAGGTTCCATATTTGACATCTGAACATCATTTGAGATTGTTCTACGTAGAAGGTGAGTGATATGAACAATGTAGTTGAAGAAGCAGAAGGATGCTAGAAGTAAAAGAAGTAGGTTGATGATATAGTACCACAAGAACTGAGCAAGGAGAATCCAAAGAAGTGCTTCACATCCAACTACTCCTGACACGTGGAATGTTATGATGTTAGTTGGCATGCTCATGTCAGCAGTGAGTGCAAGGACATGGGAGAATAAAGCAAGGATGAAAAGCAACATGGTTGGACTTATTTGTTGAAAGGGATTATGGTCTGAGACTCCATATTTTATTCCAATACAAGTTAACTCCAAGGCCATGAGAACAAAGTACACTTTGTGCCTATTCATAATGAAGATGAGAGATTCAGATTGAGGATTATTGTATAGAGGAGAAGAAAGAGAGAGATATATATGCTGCAAAAACATGTCTTCTACTCTTCTTTAAATAGCTATAGGCAGCTATAGCTACTGTTCTTCATTTTGCCAGTTTCTTTTCCTCTATAAAAAACGAGACATATCTATGATCTATTTAATTGGTAGCTACTAGCTAAGTACTATAAGTCACTTCATCTAAAATTGATTGGAGAGGAAGTTTGGTTAAAGAATGGCATAAAGTGGTATCAAGACAAAAGAAATTAATTCATCCGTTGCTATATCCTCCAAATTAAACTCCGAATCAGTCTCCCAAAGATTAAAATATTAGTATCTCTTAATAAATTTATTATAAAATAATAATTTAATTTAATATTTTATTATTTAAATCAATTTTTTGATAATTCGAAACAAGTTTTGGTATATTCATTTGAAAGATACAACATTTTTCTTCATCTAAAACATACTTCTTTGACTAATCTTACAAACCCAATTTTAATTTGAGAGTTTGAGATTTTCTATAAATTCACTACAAAAGATTATCAATCATTTATCTACATATTAAGTCTAATAACATCGGATATGAAGATGTATATTGAAAAAAATTCAAATTTATATTGACTAAAGATAAAATTAATAAATTAAAAATATATATAAATAAGAAATACTTTTTATTATATTAATTATTTTTTAATATTGAGTTAAGTCCGTTATCCACTTTTTTTTAAAGATAATATTATATTTTATTTTAATAAATATTGTTGGACTTATCCATTCATGGACTATTAGTTCATTGTTAAATAACTTACTAATGTCTAACTCTCAATATATAAATGAGTTGAGTTGAAGATCCAATGATGTTCATAATCGAGAAACAATTCTAAAATTGAGACTGCTATACTCTATTGCCGGAAAATGTTTTCTAAATGCAAGATAATGGTGTGCAATTTTTTCTTTTTATTTTCTATATCATAGCATTGGCAAATTATATCACTACTATCTATTTGAGTAGCTTATTTTTTTTTCCTGGACCTTTGTGCATTTTAGTTTTTGCCTTATTGCTTGAATGATTATTTACATTATTAGTTCCTCCTATGCTTCAGTTTTGGAGATATAATTTCTAAACTCCCCTAGTTCTGGAACGAACCTTAATCCATAG